GTACACACAGCATCCACTACACAAACATCCTGTATTCACAGTACACACACTACATCCACCACAAACTAAAACACTCTGCATTCACTATACACTGACACTGCATCTAATACACACACTACATCCACTACAGACACTGCATCCACTAAACACATTTCATCTAGTACACACAAACACTACATCCACTACACAAACACACACTACGTTCACTATACACACACTGCATCCGCTACACAAACACACACACTGCATTCACTGCACAAACAGTATCTAATACACACAAACACTACATCCATTATACACATTCTAATTTACTTCCACTATACACACCACATTCAGTCCTGCATCATTGTCAGCGGACTAGGTAGGGCGTGGGCGGGCCCGGGGGAGGGAAAGAGAAGGGGGGGGGGCCCAGACCTTGTGCTTTGTCAGGGGCCCCAAAATTTCTGATGGTGGCACTGGGAGGGGGTATAGGAACACATGGAGGGCTGGCAGAGCTATAGGGACACATGGAGGACTGGGAGAGAGGGCTAATAGGACACATGAAGGGCTGGGGGGCTAATGGGACACATGTGGGGGCTACTGAGACACATGGAGGGCTGTGAGGTAATGAGACACATGGAGGGGCTGGGGAGTAAAAAAGACACAGGGAGGTGTGTGGGAAAGAGACAGACGGATTGGGAAAGGGGAACAGGAGACACACAGAAGGAGTGGGGAAGGAGAGAATGAGACACAAAGAGGAGCTGTGGGGAAAGATACACACAGAGGTGCTTAGGGATACCCCTCTTAAAAGACTAACAAAAGCCTGCAACTTATCACATGTTTTTATCACTCAAATAGAAAATGCCCAAAAAAAAAAATATGGTATAAAATCGAACAGTCCCTGTTTCAGATGGAGCAGCATAATTTGGATCTGAGCGTTTTATTTTGGTAGATGATTTAAACATACAAAATTGGATTAATTGTGGTCTTTTGAAAATAAGTAATTTAATGAACAACAACAACTTGAAGGCTTTTCACTCGTTGTGTGCTGAATATAATTTAGATAGAAGTTTTTAACTATCTTAGAATAAAAGTTTTTGGGCGTAATCATTTAGCTATTGGAAAATCAAATAAATTTATTATTTTGGAAAAGCTATTGAAAAAAACTATCCCAACAAAGATAGTGGCTGGTTGTCTAGAACTGGTTAGTAGGGATCCTAATATACCTATCGAGCCCATCCTTAAGAAGTGGGGTACAGATTTAAATATTCAAATTAGCTACGATGAATTGAGGTATTCCTGGAACGTGGTATAGGAAAATGTTCATTGTCTCAATCTATTGGAGTGCCACTACAAGTTCTTAAATATGTGGTATTTGGTTCCATATAGACTGCCTAAATTCTTTCCAAATCAGGAACACAGATTTTGGAGATGTGGGGACCAAAGAGGTGAATATCTACATGTCTGATGGGAGTTCACCCCTATCCAGCTGTTTTGAAATATGATCAGGAGTAAGAAGAAAGAAGAAGAAAATGGCAACAAGATTATCTTCATATGACAGACAGAAAATGAGGGAGTAACCCTAAATAGTAGAAATTCAAAAGAAAGAGATTCTGTCCCTTTGATAAAAATCTAGAAGATACTTTATTGGTATTATACAAAAGACGTTCCTAAATAGACTGCCTCTCTTGATCTAATGTGATTCTCATGGGTGTCCAAAATTAGACACGCCCAAAAGACCACCTATAGGTGCTGAGGGCGTATATAGAGGGAGAAAAGGGGATTGTGAGGAAACATTAAACAAAAATTGGTTAATTGGTGAGTGAGGATAAAGGAATATATGTGCAGGTTCCAGAGTCTGCATACACTCTAGTAGTGGTAGGGTTTGGAGTAGAAAGGAGAGAGATTATCTCCAAAACCCCACTAAAAGCAAATGGGCGAATTGCCTCAGTGTAGATGTTGTTATCTAATAAGTGGCTAGTTGTAATAGCACAGAAGTGAAAATATTGGCATATTACAAAAATTGGTCTGCCAGAAATGTCATGTTGATAATTGACCACTAGGGGTCACTATACCCATGGATTGCTTCAAGGCTGTTCACTTAATAAATTCGCAAAGAAGTATCTGATGACTGTGTGAACAAAAATAGATACAGTCTTTTGTCAGAATGGTTGGCAAATAAAGTGAACAAAATGTAACCTTTTTACCCATCTAGCAGTATAAACAATGTCTGCTAATACTGACAGGATGCAATAGCCGAGTTGCTACCGTTGTCTGCTCTATTTCTGCTATATCAAGAGGGGCTAGAGTGCACATCGAATCAAACAGTGCATTCATGCATACCCCTTAGCGAGAGCAGTATTATAGATCTATTCAGTGCGCTTGTAATACCTGTAAAAGCTGCATATCAAAAGAATGTGTTTGATGCACTAGGTTCTCAGCGTGAGTTGATTTGCCGACATATGGCTGTTTCACTCCCGTATATGTTATTTAGCACACTGAGTGAACGGCTTTGGCAATCTGTAGTTGTCAGATTTCACAAACAACTAATAGGTAGTATATTATAAGGCTAATATAGTTACAGAGGAAGGAAGTCCATGGAATAAGAATAGTGCCTTCGTGGGCACTGGTTACAGGAAAGGAGTATGATAGTCAAAGATAGTAGTATAGAAAGAAATAAAGAATATCATATCTACTGAGGCATCGTCTGATTAGCGATTAGCAAATTACTGACATCGGTATGTTGATAACTATGCCGATATAGTCTGGTCACTATGTAAGTTCCCGGTTACCCAGCTCCAAAAATCTTTTCCTATAAATGCTCTCAGATGGCTCAAAGTCGGCACAGGTAAGTCCTAAAATGAGTAGATGCTGATACTCATTAATAAATAGTAGAGAGGAAAAAAAGATTTGAATAGCTGGTTGCAGCAGATCTCGGTGCTGCTTATGGGTAATAGAGGGAAACAAACGGCAAGGTGCTTAGAGAGATAATGTCGGAATAAACCCGACGCGCGTTTCGCCTTGTTTAGAGGCTCGTCAGGGGGAAATTAACTCCCTGCATAGTATGATTTAAATATCCCGCCCTCTTGTCTGATTGGTCGGATCTCGGCTGAGGATGAAGGATAGAAGTACGGTGGCTTCAAGGTATCAAAAAAGAGAGAGGAGGTCCATGTTAATTGTGGGTATATATATCAACGCAAGGACCATCTGATAAGGATAAAGATGTATTAGTGTCCTTAATGATTTATCATTACATCTAAATAATAAGTAATGCAAGTTAATGGGGAATAGTCAAGTATAATAACCAATGTCTTTTGATAGACATATATATCAGAGAACAATAACTAGTAATCCCACAATGATGGGTATAGGTGTCATATATTAATGTATACACAGATATATGTAAATAAATATAGATGTGTATATATGGGAAAATGTATACATATATACATATGAATATGGAGCAAATGATGAAGTAGTGGGTCATCTAACTTCATTGATGATTGTAATATAATGTCACAAATGGAAAGAGCCATCAGAGACATGGGTTATGTGAATAATGTTATTCTGAATGACTAAAAGAGCATAGTATATACTAAAATTACTCATGTATAAATGGAGTACAGTTGAATTCTTCATTCAGACCTAGGGGGGCTAAAGTTTTAAAGGTGAATATCCACTGAGATTCTTTTTGTAACAGAACTTTATTAAAGTTGCCTTTTCTGGGGTTGGGTAGTAATTTTTCAATCACCTGAAAACGTAAGTTTTCAGGTTTGCCCTCGTGGAAATTGATAATGTGTCTTGCAACAGGGGTAGGGGAAATCATGTTGTTAACAGAGTTGATGTGCTGTAAGATCCTTCGTCTGAATTGTTGAAAAGTTTTGCCTATATATTGGACACCGCAGCTGCACGTGATTAAATAGATAAGTCGTGTGGTACTACAGTTCACCAGGGCATTGGTATCGACCTTGATTTGGGTCTGTGTAGATACGACCGTTTTTGAAGGTAAAACATATTGGCACGCCTTGCAATGGCCGCATTTGGCCGTTCCTTTCACAGAAGATAGCCAATTGGTTGGTGGTGAAGGGGATGTCAAATGGCTATGAACTAATTGATCATAAAGGTTGGTCGGTCAGCTTGCTGTTAGCGATGGATGGTTTGGTAAGATTTTGTTTAGCACTGGGTTATGTAGGAGAATTGGCCAGTTCCTATGTAGGATAGTGGTCATATTGTTCCAGCCTTGGTCAAAGGTGGCGATACAGCGAGGTGCCTTAAGTTCTTGTGCTGGTCTCGAAGATTGGAGACTGGAGTGTCTATCTATACCACACACTTGGTGAAAGGCCTGTTTTAGGACCCGGTTGGGGTATCCCAATTCCTTGAACCGTGACCTCAAAATCTTGCATTCGTTGTAAAAAGTTTGGTCATGTGAGCAATTGTGTCTCGCTCTAAGGTATTGGCTGTAGGGAATGGAAGCCTTTAAACAATATGGATGGTGGCTCGTCCAGTGCAACAGGCTATTGGTAGATGTCTCCTTCCTGAACAATTCAGTTTGGATGATATCGTCTTGCTCGAGTAGGATCTTTAAATCCAAGAACACCAGTTCGTGTTCATCAATCACATATGTCAATTTAAGATTGATGTCATTGTCATTCAACATAGTGACAAAGTCTTCAAACAAGGGGACAGAACCTGTCCACAGGAGCAGCATGTCGTCAATATATCTATGCCAGCTCAGAATGTATTGATGGAAACAACTGAACTTTGTGGCAGTGACGACATGCTGCTCCCACCACCCTAGAAATAAGTTGGCATAAGTGGGGGCACAAGCCGTCCCCATAGTGGTACCAGAAATTTGGAGATAAAAGGCTCCATTAAATACAAAATAGTTGTGTGTAAGGATAAATTCAAGGGCGGCTAGGATGAATTTCTTTTGTAGATCATTATATAAGGTATTATCAAGAAAAGAACTGCAAGCCCTTAGACCTAAGTGATGGGGTATGTTGGTATATAGAGAAACCACATCAAGGCTTGCTAGCTGAGTATACGGTGGAACGGTCATATCCTGTAATGTACGATGGTAATTTGAGTACTAGAGGATGTAAAATCTTTTCTACAAATTTACTCAGGGCTTCTGTAAGACAGTTATTGCCAGATACTATAGGTCTACCAGGGGGGGGACGGGTACCCTTATGTATTTTCGGAAGACAATAAAAGGTGGCAATAGTTGGAGTTTTATTGGGTAATAGAAATATGAGTTCGTCCTGGTTAATGATCTGTTGATTGAGAGCATCGTGCAATAAAGTTTCCAGTTCATTAACATAGGTACTTGTAGGGTCTGAGGAAAGAATTCTATAGTAGGAGATGTCATTAAGATGACACATGCACATATCAACATATTCAGACCGTTTCATGAGGACAATGTTGCCACCTTTGTCAGCTGGTTTGATTATAAGATCAGTTTGCTGTTTGAAATCTTGAAGAGCCCTACGCTCGGCAAAGCTCAAGTTGTCTATGGTATGGCTAGGCTTGTTATTCATTTCAAATTCGTTCAGTGACATTTGAAGAAAAAGGTCAATATGAGGAGTGTCTGTGAAGTTGGGGGTGAAATAGCTTGGTGGCTTGAAGTCTGTCAATGGTCTACTCAGATCGTTTTCCTGTACAAGACTGTCCAGGATTTTAGACATTTCATATTCCTGTGTAGTAAGGCCCAGACCATTTGCTGCAATTTGATATTTTTGGGCATGCAAAATGTTGAGGGCAAGTTTTCTGCCAAAGAGATTTAAATCTTTGGACCAATTGAATTTGTTACATTTGGGGGTAGGTACAAAGGATAGTCCCTTGTTGAGTAGACTGATATGATGTACTGAAAGCTGAAAGTCTGTGAGATTAATGATTTTATCTGGAATTAAGTTCTTGGGGTCCGGTTTTGGGTCTTGTACGACCATCGATCCCTGTCTCTTAGACGTCCCCGTTGTTGGTATGGTTGTTGCTGATCTAAAAAAGGATTTGAAGAGGGGACAGTTGGAGTAGAGTTGTTCGTGTCCCCTGAGATGGGTATATCCAGAAAGGAAACTACCTTTTCAGGGTTCTTAAGGATACTCTTATTGGAGTTTGACTGTGAACTGGTGTCTTTTGTATATGTTCTGTTCCGTGTGTAAGGGGATCTCCGTCTGTTCTGTGATTGTTGATCCTGGTCTGACCAGTCTGTTTCGGCAGAAGAGGAGCCCCTATAGCTGTTTCTGCGTCTCGTATTTTTGTTGGTTTGTCGGAAAATGGTTCCACTTTTAAAATCTTTGAAGTCTCTTTGAAATTTGTTGTGTTTTTTGATTTTTAGATGGTGTCTAAAGTTGGTAATGTTTTGTTGCAATTTGATTTCCATAGGGGTATAAAGATCATCTGATTTATACTTTTTGATGAGGGCAATTTCTCCATTTAATTTAAGGTTACTTGTCTCAAAGTTATTTGTTTCCAACTTAACCAGGAAATCCATCAATTTGAAGGAACAGCTCAATAAGATAGAGTTCCATTCGCTGAGCTGTTCTTCAGTCTGGATTTTGTCTGGCAAAAGGATGTCGGGGCGAAGGCCTCTGGGAACTAATTTCTGCTCAAGATACTGTTTGAGACTGGTCAGTTCCCAGAAGCTTTTAATTTGTTCCTGGTAAGTTTTCTGAATCTCAAAGAAAGCGGTGTTGATGTTATCATTAATAGTTCCTTGTGAGGACAATGGATTGGTAGAAAACACATTTGTGATTTCCTCCTGTCCTAGATTAAGATCACCTAGTTTATCTAGGAGGTCAGTCATTTAAAGAGACAAACTCGTGTAGAGTGACACCAAGGTATTGATAATAATCAAAAATGACCCAATATATATAGAATATGTTTAAGGATAACTAGTTATTGATTGGTATAAGAACCAATCAGCAGAGCCAATTAGGTATTGAAACCTTAGAATGAACATAAGAAGAAGAAAATGGCAACGAGATTATCTTCATATGACAGACAGAAAATGAGGGGGTAACCCTAAATAGTAGAAATTCAAAAGAAAGAGATTCTGTCCCTTTATCCTCACTCACTAGTATAACCAATTTTTGTTTAATGTTTCCTCACAATCCCCTTTTCTCCCTCTATATACGCCCTCAGGACCTATAGGTGGTCTTTTGGGCGTGTCTAATTTTGGACACCCATGAGAATCACATTAGATCAAGTGAGGCAGTCTATTTAGGAACGTCTTTTGTATAATACCAATAAAGTATCTTCTAGATTTTTATCAAAGGGACAGAATCTCTTTCTTTTGAATGATCAGGAGTAAGATTCAAGTATTTATCGGCAAACCCTGTCATTTGGTCCTGACCTGTTTCTACTACAGCTTAACGTTAAACATACTTTCAAAAAATTATACTCCCTTGGTTACTCACATATTACTAGCTGCAAAAATTATGATAGCCAGATATTGGAAATCATCTATCACCCCAATTTGGGCTTTGGTTAAAGAACAGCTCAAATTTCAGCAAAGAATGGAAAAAGATATTATTACGGTTCCACATGACGTGTTATTTTCATGGTTAAGTCTAATAGGGAATTTATAAAAGGTGATTATAGTTTAAGTGGCTTTTCCGCTTCTTGGTATTTATTTCTGCTCTATTTTAACTCTGAAAGAAGGGTATACTTAATACTCAAATAAATATGAGATAGGAGTGGTGATGTTGGACTAGCCAACGTCAGAACCCCAAGGTACGTTACAAGAGGTAACACGGGGGCTTAACCCCACAACAAGTAAATAACTATCAACTGAAAGAGTGAGATAGAAAAAACCACTCACTCAAAAGTGAATGGGATTCAATCTCACTCTAGAAGATTGCAATGACACCGGAGGAGTTAACAATGATAGTGATTGTGACGAAGTGCCCTTCGCCACTTGTGCCTGGAGAGGACTGCTTGCCCGCCTCTTGCCCTGTGACTATGGCCCCTGGGATGTATTGCCCTTTAAAGACATGATTTGGGCATAATGGATTTGTGTTGTGCTGCTGCTGGCCCTTTAAGAACCATCTGGGGACATACTGTGGAGTTACTGGGTGGCCACCATTTCCTGTATCAGAAGCACATGGTGAGAACAATGGATGGCGGCCATTTTAACTCACAGACACTGTTTGGACTTTTCAACACGGTGCCATCTCGCCAGTATTTGTTGCACAGAGACATCGTGCAGTGGTTTTGGACTATACAGCAGGGGACACATTATACAGTGATTGTTTTTCATTTAGCCTGTATATGTTCTGCAGAATCTGCATTAAACTGTATTTTCCAAAGTACTGAACGGATCTGGGTGAATTTTGGATATGTGGTTCACCCAGATCCCCCGGTTCCAAGGATATACTTTTTATGGGGTTATTGCATGTTTTGGGGTCCCTGTGATGTATATTTTAGAAGTTATGAATGCTGTAAAAATTGTAATGTTTCTGGCCAGCAGATAATTGAGCTTTGTGTATTGTAGAAACTCAATTATCTAGCCTGGCCCAGAGGAGGAGTTTTGTGTTGCATAAATTGTGAGTTCTGTGTGCCAGTAAATCAGTCTTGTTCCAGCATTAAGCCTTGGCTCATGTTTGGGGGAAGGGATACCTACACTCTGGGGATTGCTATAATCACTTACTCCCCAGAGGAAGCTCTTGCAATAGCTTGATTTGTTCCTGTTCCTGCTCTCTGGGGAAAGAGAGGTTCACCCACTGGAAGCTGGATCCTGGCCTTGGGTCCAGGGTGGGTGGAAACAGCAGAGACCCCGGCGCAGTTGCATCGCTGGAAGTGGGGTCTGCAGTGCTGATGGTGTCGGTTGGAGTGCTTGGAGTCCTCAGCAAGCACTAGGAGCATCGATTGGCGGAGGTACTCAATCGGAGTGCCAGCGTTCCGTCACAGTGATGCTAATTAACTCACTGACGTATTCACTGATTGGCTTCTAATGATCCAGGGGGCGTGCTGAGACTGCTTTATAACCAGCTCCTAGCTCACTTAACTTCCAGCTCTTGACAAAGGCGTATGTAAACGCTGAAACGCGCGTCGATCATTTTGCCGATGCATTTACTTTAACTAAGCATTTCTTTTCTACTTTTTACCTGGGTTTGACGGATGTCCGCTTTCACTATTTATCTATTTATTTATTTTTTCCAAGTATGTGCTTACATAAGCTAATAGGGATTTGCTAGGCTGCCTTGAAGCAGCAGTTAAGTATCTATGGCCTGCCTGTGGGCTAGATAGTAAGCCCAGGGTTTTCTAGGATATTGTCTCCTTTCCTCTAAAGTTACTAATTTCGGAGGGAGCTTTTTTGTTTGAAGGTACTGCTGTCATATATCGCTGTGGATTTTATGTATTTTTTTAGTCTCACACTAGGGGATATATCACTATTGGATTTCCCCTATAGTTTATATTGCCAAATGAGACATATAGCCTCCCAGAGAGTCTGTACAGCAGGGTCGGCTACATAGCTCCACACCCGTTTGTGCTAATAGGGATTTGCTAGGCTGCCTTGAAGCAGCAGTTTAGTATCTATGGCCTGCCTGTGGGCTAGATAGTAAGCCCAGGGTTTTCTAGGATATTGTCTCCTTTCCTCTAAAGTTACTAATTTCGGAGGGGGCTTTTTTTGATTTAAGGTACTGCTGTTATATACCGCTGTGGATTTTATGTATCTTTTAGTCTCACACTAGGGGATATATCACTATTGGATTTCCCCTATAGTTTATATTGCCAAACAAGACATATAGCCTCCCAGAGAGTCTGTACAGGAGGGTCGGCTACATAGCTCTATACCCGTTTGTGCTTCTCGGTGAATTTATTTTCCACCAGTGAGCTCTCTCGGTATACTCTATTGAGACACTATTTATAATGACCACAGTTTAACTCCAGTACCATAGAGGCATTTCTACTATCGCTAGGTACCACGATCCCAGCTATATATATCACTTACGTATTTTACCGTTTTTGCGCGACTTGGTTTATTTATTTTTCATCTTTTGTACGGAGCAGTCTGTACTTATGTTCCGTTTCTCTTATATATTGGTCCACATATCGGATGTCCCTATAGTCTTACTTGGTCCTCTTTAGAGGCCTTACTACTATTTATTTTAGCGGACTCTATACGTATGTGCACATACAATTTATTTATCATTTTCTATGAGATTAAGGAACATATCCCCAGGTTTTTAATTCCTCACCTTTCTGTGATTTTCACTAACACAACTTTCTATGGTGTTTCTATCCAGGGTAAGCTTTATACCTATTACATATATTTTCTTTGCTTAATTTTAGTTCAATAAAGGTTTCCACCATTTTCTTTGTTACGTTTACTTTAGGAGGTAATCTTCTAGAGTGAGATTGAATCCCATTCACTTTTGAGTGAGTGTTTTTTTTCCTATCTCACTCTTTCAGTTGGTAGTTATATACTTAATACACTGTACTATCTCCAGGAATCCACCCGGGGACTCTCCAATTGATACAGGAGATATTTGGAAAATAATTAAAGCAGCAGTTCATGCCGAACTTACCTTTCCCTAATCGTTACCTCTTCTCTTCTTCTTTCAGGATCTGTTTTTAATTTCTTCCTGTCTGCTTCAGTTTTCTTTAAAACATAAGACAATGTGTATTTCCTACGCCTGACCAGCTATGACCAGCAGAGCAGCAAAGTGTGCTCCATTTCCTGTGGTCAGAGAAATTTTCCCACAGTTCTCACCTTTCCTCCATGATCTCGCGATGCTTCCTGTCAGTATTCCCGAAGTCCTGTCATTTAGACAGAACGCAGACGAAACTACCAAATTGTTCATTCATGTTAGGACGACTATCGTTACTATTAGGTTGGTTCGAAATTTCATTAGAATGAATGAAATTCAGATCTGTGCTGCGTCTGCATTTTGCAGTGGCTTAGTAGATAGCTCCCTAATTCCCACAGTATTAGGGAGCTATCTACAAAAAGGCTGAAAGACCAAGATTGGTCTTTCAGCCAACTTTACTAATACCAAGTAAAAATTACTTAGTATTAGAAATTAATCTGCCCCTACTTGCTATATCGCGAGTAGGGGCATGTCTAGTAAACAGTGAGCAAATAAATTGTGAACCAGTGTAAGCTCTCTTATGCTGGTGAGGAGATAAAGGATCTCCCTGACCGACACGCTGGCACTTAGTTTCTGAGAGGCTCTGTGTTCCTCCTGTGAGCAGTGTGGTCGGAGCGTTGCCACATTACCATGGCAATGTTCCAATACAGTGCTGTGCTCTCAGGAGGACAGGAGAGTCAGCCTGCAGCCAGAGGAGCTGCAGGCTAAAGTGAAATTGCCACCACTGGACCACCAGGGCTTGCAGCATTTGACCCTCCCTGGTAAAAAGTAAGAAGAAGAAGAAGGGGGAGACATAGATTTTCACATCTCACCCACCTACAATCAGCGTAAACCACACACACTACACACTGCCCCTTCAGACACACACCACCCCCCTGACACACACTGCACCCCTCATAGACTTTCCCACACTGCCCTCCCTACACACACACTGCACCCTTCACACATAAAGCACCACACACACACAGCACCCTTCACACACACACAAAGCACAACTCACACACAGCACCCTTCACACACACATTACACCCTGTAAAAGAAAAAAAAAAAAAAGGTGGGCAGTAGGTATTCAAAGGTTTACTACCCCTGATCTATGGCCTCAACAGTCAAGGATGTGGCCTATAGAAGGACAGGGACTGCAGAATCAGCAACAACAAAAAAGTATCTATGAAATTATCTGCTGTTCCTAAATCTATCAAGGCTTTAACAAAGATGTTATTTTCTTGGATCTTAAGACAAACTGACAGTATGAACCTAGATGTTTCAGGTGCTGGGGACAAAGTTATTAGACCCAAGGCTGAACCCCTGTTAGTCCTTAGGTGTGAGAGTTTTCAGGGTGGCTGGGATATTCCTTCCTAAGATGACCTTTCTGTCCACAATAAATACAAAGTCCCTCTCTTCTTCTGAAGGCCTTTTCAGCCTCGGATAACTTTGTCACACCTAATTGCATGGGTTCTGAGGCAGGTAACGCTAACACCGCTCATGTCTCTCCTTTTGTGAACGTCTATCTCTGATACGATTACCTTTGTGTATACAGTAATCAATCAGATCATTTAAGTCAGAAGGCAATTCCTTGGCGGTTCTTTCATCCTGAATGTCATAGGCTAAACCCCCCTGGAATGCCGTAACCAAACCACTGCTAGTCCAAATGAATGCTAACCTGGTTGATGAAACCTCGGCAATTCAACGGATCTCCACAATAACGCTGTAGATAGCTTCTGTCGTTCTGGTATCCTGCTCAGCGACCCCAGGGTATGCAGGCTGCGCAGGAGGTCTTGGGGACCCCGTCAACTGTGCATGGTGCCAACAGTGTTCTGTTGGTTGTCTTGGGTTCCCCCATCCCTGCAGCTGCAGGTGCAGTAGCAAGCGCTGGCAAGGTTCCTTTGGTGGCGGGTGATTCCTATGGCATTTCTGATATTGCGCGGGGGTCCGCTTATATGTGCTGGTCTGGCCCTTTGGGTCTCCACCTGAAGCAGGAAGTTAGGGAAAAGATCTGGAAGGGGGAGTTCATTGAGATTTTCTCCCTTCAGCTATTGGAGGAGGCCCCTCCCCTGGTTGAGATGGATGGTAAGGACTCGGAAAAGGACAAAGAAAGGTTTTGCTACCGGAAGATTCCAAAACTGTTGGTAATTGGATTTGTGCATTTTCTATCCTTGCTAGTGTCTTCCCAGAAATGCTCTGCGTTGTTATGTTATCAGAACAACGCAGAGCCGTACCCATGATGGCATGGTCTGGTGTAAGTATGATAAACAATTCCGTCAGAGGCTGGCAGTATGCCCTTCAGTTTCCTGGGACCAGATGGACATTGGCCTTTCTTGGGGGTGGGGGGGAGAGTGGGGGAGCAAGGGTCCTCTGCCTCATCGGCCTCCTCCCAGAAACCGGAGGTTCAATGATAGTCATTGCAAATGGGGTGCCTCGTGCCATTTCAAGCACAAGTGCTCCAACTGCTGGAGTTTTCATTCCGTTGTCCGATGTTTCCAGTGGGGCAATGTTGGTGAGAAGAGGGACCTGGGGGCTAAGTGCAGTGACTCCAGTAATCGTAAATGTGATGGGCCTGTGGCTCGCCTGTTAAAGGAATTGGCGGTCGACCCGCATCCTCTTGGAAGGTTTTGAGGAGCATTTCTGGATCCCTTTTTCGGTTTGCCCCCCTTCACTTCGAGTTTAGAATCTTCGGTCTGTTAGGGATTTTCTTCAGGTAGTTCGGGAAAAACTTGGAAGGGAGGTGTCTTTGGGTTGCATGGCTGGCCTCTTTGGGCGTGGTGCCCAAGAAGGAGCAGGGGGTTTGGTACCTACCCGCAAGGGGGTTCAGT